CGCGACGCCCTCCCCGCCCCGGGCAGTGCCAAGGCGGTGCCAGGCAGTGGCGTGCCGAGGCAGTGCACGTCCAGGGCCAGGGCCTCGGCCACGACGCGGCCGGCAAGTGCATCCCACCTCGTCGTCGTCCGAGGTGTCCAGCGCCGAAGTGGGCAGTGAGAATGTTTCTCTACCCTCCCCTAGCGGAATGTGTGATGTCTTGATGGCCGGGCCTGCCCACCGCCTGCCCATCGCCTGCCCGGCCCCTGTCCCGGTGGTGTGGAGGGGCGGCCCCGCGGGGGGCGCTGAGATACTGTGATACGGTTTGCGCGGGACGCGGTGGCGGGGTGGGGCGGGGCGGGGCGACGTTGCGGCCCGCACGCGAACCTCGCATCGCTCCTAAACATACCGCCGGCCCGTCGCCTCCCAGGTTGTTGTTCTTGTCACTCGGGGCCGCCCTCGCCACGCCCCGCCCCGCCCCGCCGCGCCGCGCCCCGCGCTTGGCCTTTTTGCCGCTCCGCTTGTCCATCACCGGGCTTCTGCCGGGCCGCCGCCGCGCCGCCGCCAGTCCAGAGGCGAGTCGGGAAGGACACTGTGGACAGGGCCGCCCGGGGCAGCCACATGAAGTCTTCGGTTTCCCTCCAACCGGCCGAAATGATCTTTCTCTCTCTTTTTGCCTCGGTTCGGCCGCGCCGAGTGGCGGCAAGCCGTGCAGACACGTTTTGCATTCCATTTCTTTCTCTTTTCTTTCTCTCCCTCTCCTCCGCCTTGCAAAAGAGTGAATTAAGCAAGCAGTCCCGAGAATTAGCCCCGCCGTATTCGCTTTTGTTCCCTTGTCTTTGTAACGCCCGAGCCATGGCGAGGCGGGCCGGGACGGGATGGCTTCGGCCCAGCCGCCTTCCAGGATGCCGTGGAATCCGAGGACCGGGTTCGAACCTCGGCGGCGGCGGCGCCTTTTTGGGGCCGGGTCGGGTCCCGGACACCTGGCCGTGGCCGCTGCTCCAACAGGCGCGTTGGCGTGCGACCCGACACGGCGCGGCGCGCAGCTTGAATCGCTGACAGGGAAGAGTTAGGAAGGGTCGGATTGCTGAATGAAAAATCGCCCGGGACGTACGGGGAGCGTGGCGCGGCGTGGCGGGGCGTGGTGATGGATCACGACAGACATTAGGCGCGTGACGCTCCCACGTTCCGGACCGGGGCAGGACGGGGAAGGGGTTGGAGTGGAAGAACCAGAGGGTAATTAAATTGCCCAGCGCGTGCCTGAGCCACCCTGTGCAGGCCTGTGCCGCCTGGACGACCCCCTCCCCTCCTCCCCCCGCGCCTCCTCTCCTTTCCGCCTTGAAAATGCACCTCGCGATGTGCATGTGACACGAATTTTATTAATGGTGCGAGGGATTAATATATAGGGTGAGCCACCGCCGCCGCCAGCCTTTTACTGCTTCGTTGTTGGTGTTTTTCTTTTCAAAATAAAATATAAAATCGGCCCGTTTTTTTTTCTTTTTTTCCTTTTGCTTTACGCTTTTTCCGAGGCGTTTTGTGTCGTGACCTTCTAGCCGGTTCTCTTTGACCAAGTTGTCGTGCGTCACGGAAGACGAAGACGCGACGCCGACGACGCCACGCCGCGGGGCCGTTTAAGTATTTTCGTTTTTGTTTCTTTTGTTTTCGTTGATGCGTTGACGCTCGCAGTCGCATCCACCTGCATCCAAGTGGCAGGCGGGGTGTCGCGCCACTAATTAATACCATTCATTCCGAACGCTCGCCTGCTGCTGTTTGTCACAAGCTCTCTTTCTCTCTCGCTCCGCCAATCCGGCCCCGCGGCCTCGCACTCGCACTGGCTCAATCGCGCGCGAACTGTCCGTCTCTTTTTCCGCTCCTTCCACTTTCTTTTTAGCAGATACCTTTTCTTAAAAACATGCCTAAAACTTCAAGGCTGACTCAAAAATGCCGTTTAACTGACAAAAAAAGATTTTCGGCGATGTTTAAATCCTCTGTTGTCTGTTGTGACCCAAGCGGAAGTGACCCGCTCGCCTTTTGTTCTTCTTCTCGCCTCCGCTGAAATAGTCGATACCTCGCCACCGAGGCACCCAATTATTTCTAGGGTTTCAAGACAAAAACTTTGGGGTTAGGGCCTAGTTCATCGTTTTTAATTTCAAGGAAAAATGGGTGCTTTCTTTAGGCGGTTTTAGGCTCTTTAGCACGGTGGCGGGAAGCAGCGGGTTGAGCGCGCTCTAGTGGCGGGACGGTGCACTAGGGGTCTGGCGGGAACGCCGCGCCGAGCGGTTGGGTTCGTCCGTTGGCTGCCGTTGGCGCGCTCGCTGCCCTGTGTTGTGCCGCCGTGTGGAGCCCGCCGCGAGTGTCGAGTGTAGTGACGGTGCCGTTTGACCGCGTGTGTTTGTGTCTTTGTGCGTCGGTGAGGCCTCGGGCCGACTTTACGACGGCTCTCGTTCAGACAGCCGCGTATGATTGGCTGCCTTGGCTGCGCGGTTTCTGCTTGGAGCGCCGCTTATTCGAATCGAAGCCGCTTCCAAGTGGTCGCGAAGCAGGTCTGTGGCGTCCCGCGCATCGCAGGCCGGCCGGAGGGCGGAGGCTGCGTCGGAACAACCCATCAAGTCATTATCAGCGTGTGTGTTTGTGTGTGCCAGACGGCACGAAAAGGATATCATCGTCGGCGGCGTTTATCACCGTTATCAGGTGCAAGGAGCAGCAGCGGCAGCAGCACCGGGACCGCCCGCCAAAGTTGGCGTGCCCTCGTCTTCGTCCTCCTCTTCGTCTGCCGCCGGTAGTATGGTCTCATGTACTGATTCCGAGAGTCATTTTCGTCGCTCTGTCTCTGTCGCACTCATGGGGCGTCCAGTGTTGGTGCGTGAGAGACACAGCGTCAAAAACGACTCTCGGAATCAGTCCGCAGTGTGACGTCCCCCTGCTCGCAGTCCCCCGTAACCAGCCCAGCCCGTTCCAGCCCTTGCTGACCTCCCCTAACCCCGCACCCAGAAAAAGGGTGTCTTGAATCGAGTCGGGCTGGCCTTGAAACAAGGCTAACTGGGCCTTGATTGCTTCAAGGCCAGAAAAGACTTGAATCAAGTCAGATATTGCCTTGTTCCGTCTTGTCGTGGGTAAAGTCATTTCGGACTTAAAACAAGTCCATGAGTAGTCTTTAATGGCCTTGTTCCGTTTGGGCTTGTTTGGCGCCTTTGGCACCGCCCGACCCGACGTGGTTCCGGCAGCTGCCGCAAGAGTGCGCTGCGCGCGTTGCGCTGCCGTCCGCTCGCGGGGCCAGTCCCGGTCGCCAGTTAGGCTAGTTCGGGAGCAGGCCCCCATTAAATCGCTGGTGTGAGTGATGATAGGTAGCAACTTTCAATCGAGCAGTTGTCCCCTTTTCATATGTCGCGTCCCGTGACGCCGTCGCCACTGCGCCATGGCACAGTGTCGTGACGGGTCGGAGGAGGCCGGGCGCGAACCAAGGTTGCGGACGGGAGACAGTAGTTAACCGGAAAATTTTTCGTCGGTCGACGGGGATCGAACTTCGGCTCGGTAGGGTGCAGTGACGCACCGGCATTGCCGTTGGCATTGCCACCGCGGGTTACACCGAAATCCACCCCACCACTGTTTGATCAAACCTGAACAGTAAGGAAATCAACTTCGCAAACTGCACGATCTTGCGGAATCCCTGTTTTCCTACCCTTTTCTCGTTCCTTTGTTTCTGTTTCTGAGGGTGGCTCACTCATCCCTGGTGCACCTTGCCTGGGTCGGCGCTTGCTCTGGCAAGCCTTTTGGGACTGTGGCGACTCCTCTGGTGTAAAGGTCATGCGTGCGTGGCTCCAGTTGAGCCTCCAAACTTCCAGTGGGCCTCTAGCCAGCTTCTTGTCGACTAAGAAGTCGTACTTGCTCGTCTGCGCCTAGCGAGTTCCCCAATGAGGTTAAGTCTAGCGAGGTCAAGCGAAATGCCAGAAGGCCGCTTCCGAGCACCGTCTCCGATGAACCTCCTAGCCAGCCCCACTGAGTTTGTACGCGGGCGCGGGCACTTGCGAGATGTCCTGGGGTATTTGTGATCCACTCCCAGAAACAAAAACAACGGAACGAGGAAAGGATAGGAAACCAAGGATTTTGCGAGAGCGTGTTGGTTGCCAAGTTGATTTCGTTTCTGTTCGGGTTTTGCCAAACGAAAGGGACCGGGGGGATTTTTTTATTGTCTCCGCTCGGTGAGACAAATCGCAGGTGGCTATTTGACGCGGCGGCGCCCTGGCGGGGCTGGCGGGCTGGCGGCTCGCTGACCGTGATAGATAGGGAGTCGCATTACGTCGTGTCGCCGGACAGGGCCCCGCCCCCCGGCCCCACCGTGGGCCTTATCTCTGAAGCGAATGTAGTGTGACTGTGGGGGCGATGGGCCACGAGCAGCCATCCCTCTTCTTCGCCTCGGCGACGTCTCATTTTCATTTCGCCGGAGCGAGAAAGAAGAAGACGCCTGAAGAAGCTGACACGCGGAGGGCCGGCCAGGCCGAGGGGCAGACAGCACAGCACGGCGCGGCACGGCGCGGCACCGCGCGCGGGTACTTGTTAGGGAAGGAGTACCGTAAAGAAACAAGTTGCGATGGAATTCATAGCGGCCGAGTGGGCCGTGGTGGCGGTGGTGGTCTTGGGGCGCGGCGCGGCGTGGGGCTCAGCAGTGCCCCCCGCCCCGCCCCGCCGTCCACACCCACGCCGAGCGCGCCGAGTCCAAACACGGACCTGCATTATTTATAAGGCCAGGAATCTGAATAAGCTCTTCTTAAGCTTCTTCTTGTGGTTGCCACACGGCTGCCACCGCCGCGCCTCAACTTTCACCTGGTGCAAGGCGGGGCGGGGCGCCAGGGATACTGCACGCCACTGACGGGGCGGGGCGGGTACTCTTCCTGCACAATAAAGCCGCCAAGCGATTTTAGTCCTTTTTTTCCGCGTGGTGGACTTGTGTCGACGACGGCTGACTCTAATAATGGCCATGTCTGCTGAAACGCTATCCTTTCACCCCTCTGTCTGTGTTGCAGGAGATCGCCGCGGTGCTCATCGCCTTCGAGCGGCACGCCGACTGGCAGTCCAAGGAGGTCAAGATCAGGTTCGTGTCGACCCGGTATTCACTCGGGCGCGCTGTGGGTGCGCTGGGTGTGTACACAGTGTAACGGCGCACCCCCTTCTCGTTAACCGCCACCGGGGCCCGCCGGGGCCCAGCCCACCACCCCCGCATCCGTAGTGCAGCTCGTCTAGCCACTGATAGCATCAGCACCTTCGCGCGGCCCGGGCTCAATCTGCAGGTAGCCAGTAAAAAGGGCCGAGTTAGGGCGGGAAGAAAGGGCACGGCCCGGCACGGCCCGGGACCTAAAGGGAAAGGGACGCCTCGCGCGTCACCTAATGTATGGACGGCGCGGCACGGCACGGCCCCTTGCGCCCTCTGGTGTGTGTAATTAGAAGCGAGATGTACGGCGTGCCTTACGGTGTGCCGACCAGCCCTGCCAGCCCCAGCTGTGTGGCGCGGTGTTCCGCCAGGACCGGGGCACGGAGGACGAGGACGCGCAGCTCGGCTTCGGTGCACGACCCCGCGTCACTGCCCAGCACGCCGAGTCAGCCCTCTCCGACTAGAGAAGTCGGCTGGCCTCCGTCGCCGTGGCCGTCGCCTTGCTCCCGGAGCGAATATCGGACGAATCTGGAGCGCCTTTGGCCCCGGAGGCTCCGTCCCGTCCGTCCCCGACTAGGCCTCCATGATCGATGGTGCGTTGTCCGAGACGCGGAGGGCGGTGGGGTGCCGGCGGGGCCGGGACCGGGCCAGGTGCAGCAGGCCGCTGTCAAGCTAGCAGTGGAGCGGCGCCGCCAAGTCGCCGAGGCTCCACACTGGCCGGCCTCTCCGGTCGGCCTCCACGATGACAAGTCTCATTGCTGCGAGCTGCTACGGCGACTCGGTGGACTTTGTCACGGGCTGTGGCCACGGCCCGGCCGGCGCCCGGCCTGGACTTCCCCGGACTGGCCGGGACGGGACGGGACAGCCGGTTGCCCGGCCGCCTCGCCTCGCCACGCCCGGCCATTGTACGCCGTAATATATACGGGTCGTCAGTATTGTTGCGTATAATTTGTGAGGTCGAGAGCGTCTCCCAGCGCGGCGCTGCGCGGGGCTTGGCGGACACCCCCAGCCCGTTCCGGGGCGGGGGAGGGGAAGGGCGGCGGGGCGGGGCGGGGGGCGCTTCTTCACTGGGGCGCGTCGCGCCGCGCAGCCGAGCGGAGGGATTTCCGCGAAACTAACTGCCACTACACTGCCGCGCTGCGTGCTGTTTGGCGCGGCCCACCAAGTACCAAGTAGTGCGCCATCCCCTCCAGTGTACACTCCAGTGTGCGGTCCGCAGGGCGCGCGCTTGCCGAGCCCCTATTGTGGTGCGGCGCGGACCGTCGTCGGGGGCGTCGCGGTCGGCTGGACAGCCGAAGTCGCGGCCCTGCATGTGTGTGTGCGTGTGTTTAAGGAGGGCTGCAAAGGCTTGTTTGACGGCGGATTCGTCAAAATTGAAGGGACTGTGTGCTTTGGGTGCTTTGGGGACTGCGGCGGGGAAGGGCGGGGAAGGCCCATGCTGTCCATGCTGGCGGTGCCTTTTCGCTCAGGCCGTGACGTGCCGGCCGCCGGCCGACGCACGTATATCGAGGTGAGGGTCGCCGGCGTGCAAGTCAGTGTAGGCGGCACGGCCTTTCGTCGCTCCGTCTCTCTCGCACCCCCGCGGGCCGCGCCTTGAGTGCGAGAGAGACGGAGGGTCCGAGCCGGAGGGCAGCGGCGCTGTGATTCGCGGAATGGGATTCCAAGGGGCCGAGGGGAGGGGAGGGGCGTCTCGAATTTGGTTGTGGAGATGGGTTCGGCCTTCGGGGCGCTGCCGCTGCCGGCCGTGCTGGCGGTGCTGGCTGCCGCGAGATGTCGCGACCCAGTGCCTCCGCGACGCCGTCCCCGTTTGCCTATCAGCGACCCGAGGCTCAAGGCCAGCAAGTCGCTCTGACTTGGCATGGGTGCGAGAGAGACAGATGGCTGACGTTGATGCTATTGTTGCAGGCCCAAGAGCGGCTCCATGCTGCTGTACTCCCGCAAGAAGGTGCGCTACCGCCGCGACGGCTACTGCTGGAAGAAACGCAAGGACGGCAAGACGACCCGCGAGGACCACATGAAGCTCAAGGTCCAGGGCACCGAGGTAAGCTTCACGCCTCGTCGCCGGCGTCGCGTCGAGCTTGATGACCCCCTTGGGGGAAGAGGGCGGCCCTGACTGCTTCTTGTTTTTACAGTGCATCTACGGCTGCTACGTGCACTCCGCCATCCTGCCCACGTTCCACCGACGCTGCTACTGGCTGCTGCAGGTGAGCCACGGACCGCCACGGGCCGGGAAGGGCGTTTTGCTTTGTCGCCGTCGACGAGGGCGCTTCGTGTGCCGTCGGTCCGTTAGGCGTGGCGTGGCGTGCGCCGAGCGTGTCGAGACAGAACAGCGACGCCAAACTTTTTCATAATTGAGCAACCCGTATACAAACATGGACGAGCCAAGTTCCGCACCGCACACCCTAATAATCCGGCCCTTCGTCCTTCAGCGCCCCCCACCCCCACCCCCCCACCCCCACCCCCAGGCCGCGCCACGCCGCGCCGCGCTCCCCAGAGCCATATCTCTGTGAATTTTGTCGCCGGGCCAGTCTAATAATTATGAGAATGTTTGTCACTTTGCTCCCGGGAACCGTACTGTGCGCTGCGTCGTCATCCCTCGAAACAAAAGTTTGCTTCCTCCGCGGGGGCGAGGCGTGGCGGGGCGGGGCGGGGCGGGCCCAGTCCAAGACACGGCCCATGGGCCCCATGGGTCAGGTTGGGGCGGGACTGAACGGGGCTCGCTCGGAGGCGAAGAAGGAGAGCCGCTAAAGGGCATGCAGCGAGTGACCTGCTTGGGTCTGACGGCCAGGGTCTGACGGCGAGGGTCTGGCCCCACGCACCGGCGCGCGGCCTGCAGCGGGATGACGTCGACGAAGACGAAGGAGGAGGGGAGGGGGTTGTGTGATAGGCGCCCATTCGGCACCTGTGCCCTAGTTAGTGGCCTTCGCGTTTGGGGTTCGGGGGTTGAGGGTCGTCGCCTCGTCGCCGCGTGAAACAGTCCGGGTAATGACGGTTAGGGTGAGGCTAGTTTCGGCACACCGCCCTACACCGCCGAGAAGAAGCTTGCCGCGCGGGTGACCGCGCGCTCGCTCCCATTCCTGTTTCGAGGTTTTTTTTTCAAAAAATACATGGTTTTAATTTTATTGCCATTAATTCTTGCTTGCTATCGCAGAACCCGGACATCGTGCTGGTGCACTACCTGAACGTGCCGTACCCGGACGACAACAAGATGGTGTCCATCTCGCCCAGCCTGGCGCTGTGGGGTGACAAGAAAGAGTGGACGAAGGAGGAGCTGGTCTCGCAGCTGAAACCCATGTGTGAGTCCCTGGGCCGTGTGCCCCGAGGAGCCCACCATCGACACACGGCGTCCCACCACCAGATGCATCCCTTTTCCAACTCCTCGACCGGTGTGTCTCATCTCTCCTCTCTATCTCTTCTTCTTCCTCTTATTTTTCTCGTTTTTATTTCACTTATATTACTACTACTACTATCGTTTGGTTCTTTTTTATTTGAATAATTTTTTTTTTAACATTACTGATGCCTCGCATATACATCTATTTTGCTGCATTAAGTATCGTATTTACACAGTCACAGTACCTTATCATCATAGCAGTAAATAACTTCTTACTCGGTCCTCTCGTTTCATTTGTCACGGCTTCGTTTTTGCAAACCACGTAAAAAAAAGCATTAAAAACGCGCCCGACAGCGCCAGGCTCATGTATACCTGACCTAATAAACAAGCCGAGCTAGAAATAAGAAAGAATCCCATTTGTCGGGGCTTGAACGCTGCCGCGTTTCGAATGTGACGGCAAATGAGTGGTTTTTACTCTTCCTATTTCTTTTGCCGGCCATTTTCGGGACGCTGTACCCACTAGCGATACTGTGGTCGCTTTCATTAACCGAGTACTGAGTAGTGAGCTTGTCTAATTATTTAGAAAATGAGTTCCCAGTCGGCCGGCTTGACAGTTGCAAAGTTGTGGAGCGTTTCTGTCCGCCCGACCGTCCGATGGCCATTTGGCAACGTGCCCGTCCACTCGAGTTGACTGGGTACAGTGTGTGTCGGAAGTGCCTGTCCGAATGCTTGAATATCGCCACACTGCTTAAAAAAAACAGTATTGGAATTCTTTTAACGTTTTATCGGGTATGAAACCTTCATTTTTCCGTTGTGAGCTTCATTCTGATTCGTTGAAGTAATTTAAAGTAAACCGACTTAGAACTAACTGACACTCTCCTAGCGCAATGTATTTACCACCTTTTATATTTTTTTGTTCTAATTCTTTTACTTTAGTTTAATTGCCATTGTAAAACTTTGCGCTTTCCCTCTTCGTCCATCAGATTGGTATGCAGCGGCTGGGTGAGTCCTCGTCCATCTTTGTATAATTGTAATTTTCGGATTCCTTTGATCTACCTTATAACTCAACGTCGAATAATCGAAGAGCTTGAAACATTCTCAAAGCTGGCCAATTCAGTAGATCGAAGCACACAGACACGAATCGGGGCTTTCTTATCTACCTGTCCTTGTTTTCTTTGACTTTCTTTTCCGTCTTTCTCTCTGTCTGAATTTTGTCTCCCTCTCCCGCCGTCCCCTTCTTCCAACCATTTACCTAAAAAACTCAGTCCAATAACAACAGTCTCTCATTCACATCGAAAAACGAAAGGGAAGGAGCCACACTGTGAGGTACAGTACCACCTGCATGTGCACGCACCGAGTACAGTAAACAAGTAAACACGCCGACATGCATGCGGAGTATACCGTGGAGTACACCGCGACATGTAGCCCCGCGTAACGTCTCTCCTTCCACAGCCACCTCCGTCCCGGAAGTTGCTGGCGGCCAGGGCACTCACCCTCTCTGTTTCTCGGTTTGCAGTTTACAGCGAGGATGAGCCGGACCACAACAACGAGCTCGAGATATCGGTGAGTGTCCGAGAACGCGTTTCGAGTTTGGAGGGCGACGACCCGGCCGGTCAGCGCCTGTGAGCCGCGGGGTAGGCAACGCGCCGCGCTGGCGTGTGCGGCGGGCCTGCCTAGCCTCGCCGCTGCAGGCGCGCTCCCCGGCCCGCCGGCCTGGCGGCCTCTTGGCGTGCTTGCCGTGCCCTCGTGTTCCATACTCCGGGCCAGGCACTCCTGCACCCTCCCCTCCCCTTTTCTCAACTAAAAGTCTGAAGAGCGCGTGGCGCCTCCTCAGAAAGTGTCCTGCAAGTCGGTAATGGGAGGGCTTGGCTGCGCTGCCGGCCGTCGAGCCACTCCAAGACCGCAACTCGCTCATCACCGAATGCCCCTTTCCCTCGCAGACGGCCGAGACGGTCGAGTCCATCGTGACGCAGCTGATGGAGCGGCAGCGGGCGGCGCGCTCGGCCGCGCTGGCCAAGCAGCTGGAGTGCGGGTGTCCGGACTCGACCTGCGCCGACGGCAAGACCTGCTCGCACCCCATCCGCCGCATCACGTCGGCCAAGCCGCAGCTCACCACCGTCACCATGGACCGCAGCAACCAGGTAGGCTGGCGTCCGCGGGGCGGCAACGACGCCGTGCTCGAGACGGAGTGTGACTCGCTTGCATTGCGGCGCAGGTGTCGTCCACGACGGGCACGGGCTCGGGGACGCTCATCACCCAGACGCAGAGGCACCACGCGACGCAGCACACGTCTCAGCACACCGCGCAGCACACCGCGCAGCACCAGATCCACCTGTCCGAGACGCACCAGCAGCAGCTGCAGCAGCGCGTCACGGCGGCGGCGCAGCAGCAGCAGCTGCAGCAGCACCACCACCAGGCCGGCCAGCTGGTGCAGCAGGCGCCGCCGCTGGTGCTCAGCCTGTCGCAGATCCAGACGAGCAGCCTGCTGATACTCAACAACGCGGCCAACGGCCAGGCCAACCTGGGCCCGGCCTCCGCGCACCAGCACCAGGTCGCCACCGTCACGTCCTTCGTGCGCAACGTGCCCGGCGTGGCGCACCTTCCCCACCACCCGCACCACCACCACCACCTCAAGCCGCCCAACGCCTCGGCCACGGCCGCGGCCGCCGCCGTGGTGGAGGCCGCGGGGCTGTCGGGCAAGACGGTCGTGTCGGAGGCCTCGTCGCTGCACGCCGTCATGAAGCAGGAGCAGGAGGCCATGGACATGAACACGTGCCGCATGGCGGCCATGACTGCCGTCAGCCAGAGCAGCAGCACCGTCGTCAGCGTCACCAGCCACAACATGGACGTCACCAACGGCAACATCGCAGGTTCGAATCCCGGCACTGCCAGATCGGCTGCTGTATTTTTTTTCTGGTGTTATAACTTCTACATGGTGTTTTATTGTTCTCCAGATTTTGTCATGTATGACAATATTGGATTCAGTCAAGAAACTCAACACCTTCAAGTGGTCAGCAGTGCTACTAATCAGCAAGCAATACATGTTGACAAAGCAATGAGTAGCCCCCCATCTCCCTCAAAGCAAATGGACACCAGATGCAGTCCAGACATGCTTGTCACACATCAGACTTTCTGTGATGATGCAGTAGGCAATGAGAGTTGTGGCAACAAGTCCAGTGGGACTAGTGGGGCCAATAGCAGCAGTGACGGAAGCACCACTGCAGGCTTCTTCGATGCTCTAGAAATGACGCAGGAGGACATTCAACGAACATTGTCTGCTAATATGCCAATGTCTTGTGCATCTGATCAGAGGCTGCATACGTAAGTCTACTGCAGTGTGCTTTTCTAACTCATGGAGTGTAGTATTTCCAACATGGATCGTTGACTCGAGTTCAGCATTAAGGAGATGCGTTGGTTTACTGTTGTTATTCTCACTGTTCCGTTGCAGTCCAATGGATACTGTCCCATCCGTGCAGGAAACTAGTCCAGATGAAATGTCTCCTCACGACTTAAATCCCATGGACTTTATTGAAGGCTGTGAAGTAGTGTCAGGAGCTGCAGATGATGAAGATGTATTTGTTAATCTGGACGCCTTTGACATGCTTGGTGATTTTGTAGATATAGATGGCCTAGATAACACAGCAGAGAATTCATCTCAAAGTTCAAGTTAGTACCCTTCTTTCAATTTTCTTTTTTCCTTAGGTGCAAATACAATAAGTATGTCAGTTAAGGATTAGGCTAGGCTGATCATCCTCCATCTTCCAAGCAGCGAATCAATTAATAAGCTTTTCTCATTTTCAGGAATTATGATAAATTCTGAAAATTCTGAATCCCCTTCAGTAGGATCAATAGAATTAACTCATCAACAACCTCAGTACCAAGAACAAACAACACTTCTTGAAATAAAGCCAGACCATGATGCTGTTCTTAGTCATTTAAAACAAGAAGAGCCTAGCCCTTTAGAAGAAAATCAACAGCAGCAACTGCAACAGTTACAGCCTCAGCAAATTAATGGAAATGTCAATAGCAGTGAAACAAGTCTTCCATCGGTTGAAATTACCGAATACTCGCCTGAATGGGCATATCCTGAAGTGAGCATGCTTCATTTTGCTCATGGTACTGGTACCAAAATAGAGCAGGATATTTATTGTTTAAAATTTATTTTACAGGGTGGTGTAAAGGTGTTGGTCACTGGACCGTGGTATTCATCTTCTCCCTACACAGTTTTATTCGACACGTTCCCTGTGTCCACAACGTTGGTTCAAGATGGTGTGTTACGTTGCTACTGTCCAGGTATGTCTTTCATTTACTTTCGAATCCAATAAATAACTACTGTACTGTCAAACAGAGCCCATACTAATTGGCCTTTTTTATTTTAGCTCATGAAGTTGGATTAGCTACACTTCAAGTTGCTTGCGATGGTCACATTGTTTCAAATTCTGTGATGTTTGAATATAAGGAACCACCCAAGTCTCCTGTAGAGGCTGTTGGCACAGCACTCCAAGATCAGAAGCGTGATACTGCTGACTCCAATTCTTTGCTCAAACTTACCCTACTTCATAGACTGGAGGCAGTAAACCAACGGCTTCACATTAAACAAGAACAAAGTGATCATTGTTCAGACCTGGTGAGTTCTTGCCTCTGATTTGATGCAAATGTTTTTTCCAAAGCTTTGGAAAGTTACTTGACCTTCCCTCCCATTGTGTCTTAGATGGAAAGCGTAGGTGACTTGGAGGAAAGGCTAGTGGCACGATGCAGACGAATGTCCTCCTGTCAGTGGAAGGATGTTGAAATGCCAGTTCTTACAAGCCATCGCAATATGACACTTCTACATCTCGCAGCAGCATTGGGGTATCCTAGGCTCATTTGTGCCCTTATTCATTGGCGAGAGGAAAATTCATCTCCAATATTAGACTTAGAAGTTGATGCATTATCAAAAGATGAAGTTGGTTTCACCCCTTTGGTAAGAAGCATTCTCATAAAACTATCTTCAATAATCTCTTTAAAACGGTTGCAAAGGGCATTTATATTTATTGAACCTTTTACTATTATGATGATATGTGCCCTTACAGATGTGGTCCTGCTCTAAAGGCCATAATGATGCGGCCTTGGCTCTGTACCGATGGAATCACTCTGCATTGGATTTAGTCAACATCTTTAATCAAAGTGCTTTAGATGTTGCAAGATTGTCTGGTTTTACCTCTCTTGCATCGGAAGTTACTAAGTTAAAGAATGAACGTCTCAAAACTAATGCCCTTTCTCCATCAAGCCAATCAAAGTAAGATTTATTTAAATTCATGCAATTAATTTGGACTTTTGTTCCTTTCTTTTTATTTACATGTAATTTTATTTTACCTAGGCTGATTGCTTACCATATCATTCTTCATTTTCTCCTTATATTTGATTGCAGTGATATGCTGTCGCTTCTCTTTCCTCCATCTCCTTCCCCATCATCTGGGCTTTCACCATGCAGCTCAGTTGTTTCAATACCATCATCTGCAGCGTCATCCTCTGCATCTACATGCACCTCTGCTTCAGCTACTGGAACAGATGTTTCACAGGACAGCTTATTGGATACAAACTCATGGGCTTCATTGTCATCATCCAGGTCTCACGATGGGGTTTTCTTAAGACCCTTAGCAACAAGAACTCGAAGTGACGGCCAAAAACTCAAGTAAGAACCACACTTTTCTGAATAAACTTTGTTTTTTCTTTCCAATGAGTCGGAATGAATTAAACATTATAATTTCTCCTGCAGAAATCTAGAGCTCCAAGTAAACATTCCCCCCTCCACATCAGCCATGCTGAATAACTTAGAAGCTGCAACAGGTATATATTTCTTTTTTTGTCAAAACTTATTGAAATTTATTTTAATTTACTCACTTGCCTCTAAATTTATTTCTGCCACAGAGTCAGAACCTGGAGAGATACGACAATCACAATCCCTAAAACGTGGATCTCATCATCTTGTAAAGAGACCATCTGTGGACAGTGGCATCAACCTTGGTTCTGTTCAGTCTGTTCAATCTTCGTGTGACAGTCTCTCATCTCTTAGATCACTTCGAAGCAATCGGTTTAACAGAGACAACTCTCGCATATCAAGGTATCCTATAATTTTGGTTTGGACTTATAATATTTTTTTTTTAGTAAAATAAGTTCAATGTAATGTAAATATATTGATTTCCCTCTTATTAGATTTGACCGCAGTATGTCACTTCCACTAAATTCACCTAAATCAGCAAGTGATTTGTTTGGGTCAAATGGCTGTAATTCACCAGCACGCAAAGGAGACTTCTCTCTATGTGAGTACAAAATAAGTGGATTCTCTTTGAAATATCCTGTGATGACATCTGAGATATAGCTTAATTAAACATATCTCTCTCTCACACTTAATAATTTAATCTTATCTAAGATGGGTGTTCCAAACCATAGTAGTAATTACTTTTTAGGAAAAAGTTTTGTTCCATGTACATAGATATTAAGAGAAACTGTGCTAGTGAATTGTGGTGAGATGTGACCTTCTTCGTGGTGTGTAAGACAAAGCAATGAGTATCATTGTGAAAAATTGTTCGTTTAGTTAATTGTTTTGGCACTTATAGTTTGGTTCTTCATTATTCATAATTGCAATAGCAAAATATATATGTATGTTTTATCTGTTCACCATCACAGCTGTACTTGTCTCGTCATGCGGATGTTTTCTTACCAATTTTAATCAGCTACTGCCAGCTTTTGTCTTTGTGAAAGTACGCCTGTTTGACGCTTGGTGTTTATCCAGGCGAAGTTACATCTGGAGACCGGAGTGACAGTCCCCTAATCGACATAGAAGGAGTTTCGGATGAAGACTCGGAAAGCAGGGAAAGTGTTGTAGGTCAGTCCTGTGCTTTTCATTCAACACTGCTGATCATGTGATTTTTTTCATCCAGTTCTTTTCTTTTTTAATAAAAAAGGGAGTGAGAGAGGAGGAATTTTGGCCAATAATGATTAGAAATGAACTAATCATTCCAAAATTTATCAGTAGTACTTGATATGATAGATATCACATTGATCAAACCAGTGGTGTTTGTGAGGCTTAATTAACACCTGCAATGTAATGTGCATGTGTGTGTCCCCTCCCCCTCCCCCACTAACCCTAATGCGTCTCATTTGTGTGGCACAGTTTTACTGATATGGTATGGCACAATGACATATTTAAAACTTCTTAGACTGTTTATTTAAGGGTGTAATTCGAAAAGTTAGAGACCAATTTTATTTTTAGTGGATTTCCATGATACAAATCTAGATGATTGCATCCTTTTTCTTTTGAATATGTTAACTTTGTGCCATTGAGAACCCTCATGCAAAATACATTAGCACATTGTGGTACTGGTAAATGATTTGTATGTCTATGTTGTTTAGTGCTCTTGTGTCCTGGTTTGTTCCTTTTCTTTTCTTTTTTAAATTTTATGTTTGTATTATCCTAAAAACCCTAGGAACTTGTTTGGCTGGTATATCTAACAATTGCATAAATCGCATACTGTGCATAATTAGGCCGAAAGCATCAGTTCTTCAGCTGTCTGAATTCTCATGGAAACACAACCATGCTTCATGCAAATTACTACACTACCTGGCAGTACACCCATCTTTTTGACAGCCAAGACTCATGTACTTGATCGGCAATTGTGATGAAGGAATGTTATGGGGATTTGCATGATTGTTTCTATTTCTAGATCTGAGTATAGGAAATGTTACTTCCAATTTACAAACATTTTTCAGGACTATATAAACACAGTTTATATTATTATTATTATTATTATTACTCACAATAGAATATGGGATTAGTATTTTTGTTTGTGATTCAGTTCAGATCCTGATTGTAATACAAATAGATGATTCCACAACACCTACAAAGTACAACTCACCACAAGAATTTTCCCACTAAATGGTGCAAATAATACTTTCTCTCTTTTTGTTCCTCATATGGCCTTTGCTTTGCTAGTGAAATAATTCTTTGAAATTAACATGGTTTGCTGTTACATAGAATATAGCAAGAATGTTTGGTGTTTAGGATTTACTGTTTTCTCTGAATGTGTTTGGTGTGGTGCACTGGCGCTTGTCTCTGTGTTGATTAAACTGCATGCAGTGTCCAATCACAGCTTGTCTATAGTTTCACTTGGTGTTAGTTGTCTCATTACTTTATTCAACTTTCCTATTTTTACTATTGGAACAGAAGTGGTGCTGCGTGCTTTGGGGCAGTACTCGTCATTGTAACTCCATCTGTAACTTAAGAACTAGATTCGTGTATGCACAGTGTTCACTTCAGTTGCAAGGTTCTGAGAAACTCTCAGCCCATTATCAAAATCAGGTGCCAAAACGGGCAAGTTTGGAAAGTTCCGAATCAAGATTTTTCCATTTAGCCTTTTACCTATCATAGGAGGGAAGATAAGAAAGAAGACTTTTGAAGAATCAGTTTTTGTGATTTTGAAATCATTATAATTTGTTTTTAATTGGAGCTTTTGTAGCATGTTGCTGATGAGCAAACTTTAACAGTGATCAGGTGGTGCTGAGTGTATTCCTTCTCTTTTAGACTTTTTCCCCCTTCCTTTTGCTCCCAATCATATCCGCACCCCTGCAAAAATAGTTCGATTAAGCTATATGTGTGCTATATGTGTGCTAATAGGTTTGGCTTTATAATTTGGACGAAGGGAATACCATGAGCATGTTTCAACTAACAAACCAAAAAACTCAACCTTTTTTTAATTTATTGTTGGTTCTTGAAAGATTCATTTATCATATTCCCTGTTCAAATACTACAAACACATTCCACCCATTAGTTCATCCAAGTGACTTGCCCATAACTACAAAATAAAATCAGACTTTTGAATAAATGTGGGTGGTTTGTGTTGGAAGTAAATTTAGGTATAATTGGTGTTGCTTCATATCTTGCGGGTGTTTGTTGGTGTTATCTGCATATTGGTCAATGTTATTTGTGGGGTGTGCTTGCTGGAAGTTTTCTAGTTTTGTCCTTGTATTTCTCAGTGTGTGTTTTCTTAGGCATGACAATTTCATAATTTTTTTTAAAACAAAGGTTAATTTCTACTCTTTTAGCTTAATCAACAACCATGTGACTGATTCCCCATTACTCCATGTTACAGGGCAGCAAGAAGTTCGTGTATTAACTTTGGCAGAGCAAATAATTGCAGCAATCCCAGAAAGAATAAAGGTAAAACTCTTCCTTATATTTCTTAACAGAAAGTCCTCACAAAACACAGTAAAAAATAAATTTCCCCTTTATTTTTTGTAGAATGGAAGTGACGATTCTATGATGAGTGATGATAGCTCCTCTCCTGGTGATCAGAAGAATGAAGGCCTTGATGTGTTTATGGACTCATCCCTCTTGGATGAGCCACCCTCTTCTGCCTTTGAATCCAACGAATTCAACTTTGAATTCAGTGATCATAACTATCGGTAAGCAAGTTGCCTCAATCACTTGGAACCCATATCAAGCATTTTCAATTATAATTATTATGATTAATTATTATCTTATCCATGTTCATTTTAGATACTATGATGTGAGCACACCTAGTTCTAGTCTCAGCCCCTCATCAAGTTGTCTTCAATCACCTTGCTCCTTTGTGTTGGAACCCTCACCATCACCTCCCCCTACAACAGCAGACTTCTGTGAATTCTTTCAGGCTTCAGGATCTCTTTTTGAAAAGGATTTCTCTAATCTAACTCTGTCAGGTAAGATGTTGATCATAGAAGCTTTATCATGGTACATCACTGGTTTTCTTGTCCGGTGTATACTATACAACATTGCACCCATATCAGATCGTGAACAGAGGGAGCTCTATGAAGCTGCAAAGATCATTCAAAAAGCATACCGGTCTTACAAAGGACGTAAAATTGCTGAGGAACAGGAAAAAGAGCGTGCTGCTGCTATTTTAATCCAAAACTACTACCGACGCTACAAACAGGTATTCTACTTCACTTGTCATAGTTCTTGGTTTTGTTATTCGTTATGGAATTTTGTTTCTACCTGATATTATTGTCCCCTCAACAGTATGCGTACTTCAAACAAATGACTCATGCAGCAACAGTAATTCAGAATGGGTTCCGTTCTTATCAAGAGCACAAGCGCTTCAAGAAAAGTAAAGAAGCAGCTGTGTGCATTCAAACATACTACCGTAATTACCGTGATCATGGAGGACGATCATCCAGTTCTAGTCCAAGCTTTGAAAGCACTCCGTCCTCTGGTCTCAAGTCAGTTATTTTCTTTTGCTGAGTTTTGATGATTTGGGGTCTTAAATTACCTGCTTCAACTTTCACAATTTACCTGCTGGTTCTGTTTTTGTTTATCTGTTTTCATAGGCGGACCTATTCTCAGCGCCGACAGCATCAAGCTGCCAGAAAAATTCAACAATTTATGCGTCAATCTAAAAACAAGTGAGTGCTCTGATATGACTGTATTCCTTTTCCTAATAATGGAATGTTTGTTGGTGGGTGGGGTACTAAAAATAACTGGTTTTTCAATGCTGCATTAGTGATTGGGATGTATCAACAGGTCAAGTGGTGAGTCCTGGTACAACTGATATAAGGAGATGTTCCATTATTTATTAATCTTTTTTTTTCAATATTTGGCTAAAATGCCGTAGTCTGGGTATACAATTTTGTTTGGCTCTTTGTCATTCTTTTATGGTAAAAAAAAAAAAAACCATTGTCATTCTTTTATGGTAAAAAAAAAAAAAACCATCACTAAAACACACCTTTTGCTGACTTTAATATTTTTTTAAACTTTCTATTTTAGGTTGCAGACAGAACGAGCTTTGGCAGTCGCAAAAGAGAAGCAGTGGGGCCTGTCGGAGTTCCTGGCTGCCCACCGAAAGTAGCCTTATCACGAAACTTTGGACTGATTCAACACCGTTCAAAATAAGAGCAGCAGTGTCTTTGTGAAAAAGGTAAACAGTGCACTTTTCCTTTAATGCATGATGAAAGGAATATCTGCAAATTTCTAAAAGTTGTGTAATTTTTTTTCCAGGCAGAAATACATACTTTTAAATTGCAGCATATTTCTAGTGTTGCCACTCTCTCACTACAATGCTCACCTCAAATTTGCTTTTGTACCTCTTAAAGCACTTTGCCGAGGAAATTCGTAATAAGATTACTGTATTTAATGATATTTGCAATCACCACCATTGATTCTGGTTCAAAAACTTCTGGTATTGTTTCAGTGTTGTTTGGTGTGTTAAGTTCTGTTAGTCTGTGGTAAACTTACTTCTGTGTGTGCTGTGCATTGCAAAACACTTATCCAATGATCGGATTTTTGAATGTGCACTTTTGAATGTTGATGACTCCCTGGCATCAATGTTTCAAAACTGTATTATGAAGGCTTTTGTGGTTGTGCTGGGTCTTCTTATTTCTCTATTTCCCCTAGATTTAGAGCATTTCTTTACATTGTTCAAATCAGGTGAGGAAGCCAGGGTATTTTCTAATATCTCCCTTAATGTTATGTATATTCCACATTTGTGGCGATATTTTTATTCTTATTTCTCGCATCCAGAGTCCAGTTAGCCCCTGTTTTGTGCCATTTTCTGCAACATAAAGTTTTAAAAAAGTCATTCAGAACACTTATGTGTATTCTTTCAAATATATTTATGATTTTTAATCATGTTATGATATTTTTAACCTTTGGTGCTTTCATTTAGTGGTGCAGGATTTAGAAAAGAAGCATTCCTTAGTAGTCACACCAAATCATCAAGCTAATTCTGTATCCTCCGTCTTTGAAAGGTACTGTTGTTAAGTTCTGTTTTAAAAATTTACAAGAACGGATTTATGGGAATGTTATTGTGAAGTTTAATGAGTACCTTCTGTTAGAGGCCGGTCCTCAAATGTACCTATTGTTTGCTGTTCATATTGTTATGTATAAAATGTGTACATCCATCCATTCATCCATTTCATTCATCCATTTAGATGAGCACTCATTATTGATATGCAGCTCATTAGTGTTATTAATACTTCTTGTAAATATGAGGAATATTGTGTGACCTCTGCGCCTCTCTTATATGTCCTCTCTAAAAGGGGTGAAGTTTTCTTGACGATTTTTCCTTCCAAATACTCTTGTAGTATGTTCTGCTCAGTGGAAAATTAATGTTGAAAATTTAAGGGCACAGGAAAGGCCAAAGAATTAGTACATCAACCTTGCATAATGCATGCCTACCACCTATATAACATCTTTACCCTTCAATAGTTAATAACATTGTCTTTAAGAATCATTTATTCTCAATGAGGACTGCTGATTGAGTTAATAATTGGGTACAATCTAAGGTTTCTGTTTTAGTTTATGCCAGTGTTTCAACCAGATACAAGAGCAGAGCCAATGAAGTTTTCTTTGTATGTTTAGGAATGCTCTTGGCTGTTTCTATTTTATGGTATGTGACAATCTCCTGTTTGACTGGAATATCACCCTTTGCTAAAGAAGTTGTTTACAGTTGCTTAGATACCAAGGAACTTGATGTACTACTCATTGTACACAAACTCTTTGGTTGGGAAATAGACTTGATATGGGCTTGTCTGCTTTTGAGTCATTAGGCAAGCCTACTGTATCTGTGATTTGTCAGGAAAGACTATCTGTAAATAACTTGTCCAAAACACTGTTTCTTTAAGTTCTATAAAAATGAGGGTTCTTCAGTATGTTTAGAATTAATTCTTCAGTTCTTCCTCATGAACTAGTTCAAAATTACTAGCAGAGGTCATATTTTTTTGTAGTTCAAAAAATTGATAATTTATGTTTTCAGGCATGTTTCCATTTAATTTGTGATTAATCATTCCTGTTCAAAGCCTTTCATCCTTATGTGTAGTATGGGAAAAAAATTGGTAGAAGCTTGCTGCAGCAGAATTTTCTTCTTTTCCTCTCTTTAAACTGATCTATGTCATATTAAACTTTAAAACTTAGCTCTTTTGATGTAATTTTCAGTGGCCAATTCTGCTGGTTCATTCATTCAATTCGTTACTATTCAGTCCAGAATATTGACAACCAAGGAACCTAAGTGAATTCAGCTGCAACAAGTTGTTCAAGCGTCTCTCCCCTTTAAAATTAATGTTCATTAAGGAAATGTATTTCAGGTGTATAAGGAGAGAAGGAAAAAGACATTCCCCCCAATGGAAATGTGCTTCTTATGAGCTTTTGGTTACCCATTACAACAACACAAGCAATGTTTGAGCTGTTTGAGGAAAACCGCCATTTCATCATCAAATTTCAGACCAAAGGCTCATGGGCCTCATGTTTTCATTTTAATTTATTTCTGGTTATGCAGGGTGATTCTCGTAGTTAAGTGCTGCACCAAAAAGGAGGGTGAATAGAGGACCCTTAAACATGCTCCTTTTCTATAGAAATAATTTTGTCTTGCGTTGTTCCTGATGGGTTCTCAGGCAGCTGGGGGCATGCTTCTGTGATCCAGGTGCCTCCTTGGAGTATCACTTCTCCCTGGGACTCCCCTCAGCCTCAGCCTTTCTGGTGCAATGTGCAATGTAGGTGCTCCACGCGACGCGGTGCGCGATGCGCGAAGGCCCTCTGATGGGGGAAAAGGGGGTTGCACAGCCCATAGGTCCCAAAGTAAAAAACGCTTGTTTAGGGATCCTCTTTACCCCCTCCCATTTGGGCCCTACTTACCAGAATCACCCTGTGGTACACCTTTCTAGACACACTAAAATCAACGTTTTTGCTGTTGGTTTTTCTTTGTCGAATATTTTTAATCTAGGAAATTTCCCTTTGCAATCACATTTAAAGTTGCAGAACACATTTGCTCAGCTGTACAAAGTTATAGTGTTTTACTGTAAAAAAAGTTATTTCTATTCATCAGACACTGCGGTGTTTGTGATTTTCTATTTAAAGTAGATCAGTAGTGAAATCTAGTCAGGTAATATTTCAAGTTTCTGACATTATTATAAAAATTCAATCCCATGGGGTTTTACTGCATAGATTTTTTTAAGGAATTCAAGTTTAAGAAAATTCATAATTTAAACTCTTCATACTTTATGTAGGGAAATACACATGTAACGGTATATTTTGTATTTGAGAATTTGAACACAACTTCTTTATAGTCGCAACCACAGCAATATGCTAGATTTCAACATAAGAAATACTCAAAAAAACAATTCTGCAATCTCCGGAGCAGAAAAAGACTTTCGAAACAAAATGCTATCTTAGGAAATATACAACGCTTGCTAACTTGGATTCTCTTTTATTCCATTTGATCTTGAAACTTTTTGTTTTGTGAGTGGTTGTGCTGACAAACAGCATAAATGTTGCTAGCCATTTGCTGTACTTAACTTCTCAAAGTGGTAGGATTTCACTCCATAACAGTTGTGAGATGACCATCATTTGCTCATCTATATTTTTTTTCTCTCTCTTCTCCTTAATCAATCACCTCTGTATAAGTTTGAAAACTAAATCTGAAACAGCTAAACTGGTTCCTTTCCAAACTTTTGTTATACCTGGATTAGTAACTCAGCATTTATTTAACTGTTTCTTGATCTTAATTTTTCAATATAAGTACGGTTTATGTATGAGACATATCTGCTTTGGATGCCTTTATATAGAGTTAAAAATCGGAATATTTAGATTCGTTAGTATGTAAAAGGCACAGAGAAGGAAATAGGTCCTAAAAAGAAAAAAGGTTGGAGTGGAACTCCTGACAAGTGTTCAGTTAGCTCACAAATTTTCAGGCTGTACTATACGTTCTATCAGAAACACTCCTTAGCTAAAATTTATATTTTTCTACATCTTAAGGTCAAAATCACACAGTTCTAAACAAGTCGAGGACAGGGTTGTAATAAGGTTGCAGTGTCTTATTGTTTCATGTCAAATTTTTAATTCTATTGGTTGGTCCTTAATTTATTGATTCTAATGGTGTTTGCAAAGCTTGGTTTGCTCTCCAATATTCCACAGATGATAGTTAGCAGCTGTGTTGTGAGTTAAAATTCTTCAAGATACAATTTTAATCTGGTCAACTCTCTTTGCATCTTGTAAAATTTTGTAGATAATAATATTGATTAATTTTGTGCTATAATGTACTTAAGAGTTCCTGTTAACAGAGGCAAAGTTTTTGCAACTTTGCAAGGTGTTTCTTTTTGCTGACACTTTGACATCGAAGCAAATAGCAGTGTCTTGCCACGAGCTCGATGTATGTTATTATGCATTGAAAAGGCTGTGTGTTTCCTCTTCTTCCTAACACTCTTTTCCAAATGTTGATTTCTGCTTGTCTCAAGTGGAGTGATCTTGTGACTTAAAAATTAGAGCATCCATTTCTGTAACATCTGTCACAAAAAAGGGAATTCTGCATAGTGCTGGATGGTTCAGATGGTATATTCTTTTAGAGATTAAGCTCCAATTGAGGGGTGGATTTTTCTAGTAGGGAAAGGAGAAATGGAGCAAGTTGATTAATAATTTTTTACAGTAGTTTTGTAGCTTTCTTTCTCAAATGAACCATATGCACATCTTAGCGTGTGTGAGGAAACCATAACACCAATTAAATTTTAATAACATTTTCAATTTTTGGATAAAGTTAGTTGATAGGTATCAACCCTCGCTGGTGGTTATTTTAAAAGCCAACTCCAGTGAATTTTTCATTTTAAATGTAGATCTTTATGTATTCAGATGTAGCTCAATGCGCTTCATTCATGAAACACTTTTTCTAATTTTTCATTTTGTGGTCTTCTCTTATCTTTGTCCTGAAGCTCTCAGAAAATTAGTAGTATTTTTATCAATATTGATCTCCATTATCCATTTGTACTTAAAAGCAAGCACTCTCTAGTCTAGCTTAGGTCGCTTTTTAATAAATTTATGAGGACAGCGGTGTTCTTAATGAGCAGTCAAACTTATATTTCTAGGGCATAAATTGCTCCAAATTATGGTTGCTTCTGTTAACTTCCGATAATTTCAGAAGTCATCCTCTTCATGTCCTGTTCTGTGTTAATTATGTGATGGTTGGAGCTGTAAGGATTTTATTTCTGAGTGTTTCATATGATTTCTACCTGAGTGATCGTATTAAGATTTTCAAGTACCTGTACTGTGACATTTTTAATGGTGTGGTGGAAGGTGCTCTCTATTCCAAATTGCAAACACATCAATCAATATTTCATGTACGTTCCTGCCTATTTTTCTCCATGCACCTTGATGACTCTGACTCACATAAGCAAGTTATTTTGCATTATGCTTCTCAGATTGACTGTTGGGTCATCATGGTGCTGCTCAGGCACCATAACTGCAATTTTGAGTCCATCGTCTGCAACTTTAAATGCCACACTGTGCTCAAAACTACTTTATTGAGGTTTTAGATTGTTTCTTTTTTTGGAGATGCAAGTGACATCTGCTTTCAAATGTGATGCATACCTTTTGAAAATGAAGGATGGTATGGAAGTGATGTGGCTGAATCAGTAATTGGTGAAGGGATATAAGTTAACTCCATCCTTGTACATAAGTTGTTGAATATTGAAAATTTTATTCTTTAAAGCAGTTATACTTTAATTTTTTCTTACTGAGTAGTTTTATGTAATGTATAATAAGATTCATACATATGCTTCTTCAAATAATTTAATCTCTTTAAGTGCAAGCAAGTTTAAAGCAAGTACACAATGTCTACCTAAACATAAGTAAATTTTTATGAACATAGTAAGTCAGGGGATCTGCCTGAAAACAAGGCAATAGTTTGGGGTCTGTAGTTCAATGCTGCTAATAAACTCCCCACTTGGTCAAGATTTGATTTGTTGTGTGGCATTTTATCTACAACAATGTTACTGAAAGTCACTTGCCCCTGCCAAAGTATTTTATTCACACTACAGTTCTCTTCCTGTGGACTTTTCTTTGAAACATTCATTTCTTCAATGCAAATATGATTGGTTCTGGCAGCTTTCCTTAGCAGTTCTCTTGCACTTCAAATTTCTTTATTAAGGAAGTCAAAACCCGTGAGAGTGCTTTATTGTCTTCAGATGATGTAAGTTAATATTTATTCTCCTTTGTGCCAACAGAAGTACATGTATACTCAAAACCTTGTATTTCACTTCTGTTTATTTAAAGGAATGGCTTTGGTTTGTAAGGAACCTTGCATTCCCAAGGTTTTGAAGCAATAAATACTATCATTTATTAAATATTTACAGTGGGGTAGTTTTGCTAAAACTGGATGTTTAACTTACAACGCAGTTCTATCTGGTGTTTTTGAAGGCCAAAGGCAATATTTCACCCTGTTTATGAGGTGCTGATGAATTTGAACTTATTTTTGTTGTTGTCACAGCTCGTTAGCTTTGTTAGGTTCTGTTGTTGATGTATGAAAAATTATATTTTAAGCAAAAGTTTCTGGAATAAGTTTACGAACGATTCTTTGTTGCACATATTTTTTGTATCATACATTATTTTAAGTGAAAAACCAAGTTAGCAAAAACATGCATAAGCATGGATTACTGGCAACTAACCCGATGTCTAGTAAGAATGTGATTAATTATTATTATTATAAATGCTGCCGCATTTTTAGTTCTATTTCTTGGATAAGTATTAATAAAAGCTATTTGTGAAGCTTAATGCTGTTTTGGGAGAACTGTGATTCTTTTGGGAATGGCTGACTAAACTTGTAAATTGTGTACCTATTTGGAATTTTAATAACTTGCGGGCATGTTGTTTTCTTGTTAAGCTGCTTATTTTAAAATACCTTGCTTTTTCAGTATTTGTTCAGTCATCCATGGAAATTACACTAGTAGCTCCTAAGCTAGTCATTTTTTTCCTCAAACTTTGTGATTTTGTGACAGAAACTTTTATTGTCCTACTATATTATCAAATTTTTAAACCTTCCTATCACAAACATGTATTGTAGATTCTTGGGCTGTTGAAATAAAAATGTATCTTATTTCTTCGAATGCCGGTGAATGATGCATCAAGCCCCTGCCTTGCTGCAGCAGGCAACCCGCCGCGCACCCCGCACTTCCCCGCGACACCACCCCAACGATTCGGCGAGTGGCGGGGGCGGCGGGGGCGGCGAGGCACGAAGTGGAAAATGCTTCGCGGGCCAGGCCAGGCGGCAGGACTGGGGGCCTCCCAGCAAGGGACTTTCACCTGCTGCGGCGCTACGCACTTCTATCCTTTCAAAACGCCGCTGACTGATCCTTTCTCTCTTGTGGGGCGGTCCGTGTGGGTGCAAGAGAGACAAGCCAACGGGACCTCCTTTCCGGAATGAGTCTGCTGCTGCGGCCCCCGGGCGCGGCGGCGCTGTTTTCCGGACTGCAGCCAGACTCGAGAAGTTGCGCAATTCATCTACAGCGTGCCGTGCGGCGCTGCGCCTCACATCACACCGCTGCGCCTCGACGCCGCGGCCGTGAGGTCGATGCGGGCCTCGAAGTGCTGCTGCCGCCGCCGCTGCCACTGCCGGCCCCAGCACCCAAGGGGGCGGGGGATTTGCAGAAGCAGTGCGCAGCTGTGCGACGTGTAGCGCGTAACGCATGCATCCAACGCCACACCGCGGCCCGCGACGGTCCGCTGCAGTGCAGTGTCCTGGTCGCGGCTAGCCGCGGCTAGCCCGCCCCGCCTGGCCTAAGTCGGGCCTACTGGCTGCGTCCTCGGGGGAAGGACCAAAGGACAAGGCGACAATGGTTCGACCACTAATAAACAATACCCCGGGCAGCCAATGTACCCGCGATGCGATACGTGGTGGCCGCCAGCGGTTGTGGCGGCGCGGCCTGATGCCGGCGTCCTCCGCTAGATGGCGTCGCGGCCCCGATCGAGCGCGCCTCCTCTCCGTCGTCGCGGCCAGAGTGGCGGCGCGGCGGCAGAGAAAGAAGAATGACCGCAGTAATGACGAACGCCGCGACGCAGCGGCGGCCAGCGGGGCGGGGCGCGGCCGGTCGCGTCGGTCTCGAGGACGAAAATCACTCGCCACGCCACTCGCCCCTCGCCTGCCTGGACACGGGACAGTTTCACTGCGATTATGCCAATGTGATTACGCTCGCATTGGAACGGACTTTTTAATGTCCCCGTCGGCGACGTGGGTTCGAGTCTACGCGCCACAGAGTTTTTCGCGCGAGCCGGTGCTTTGGTGTTCTGCAACTGGCCGCTCGCCGCGTGCGCATGCTAAGCATGCAAAGCAGCGGTGCACCTGCACTGCAACCGCGAGTCTGGGCGTCCCGGCGTCCCGGGCCGCGGAATTCGGCCGCGGACTCGCAGCGAGCGTGCTGCGGTGCTGCGCCGCGCTATGGCTGCGCGGCGGGCGTCTTTTCTCTCATCGGCCTCGTTGCAGGGCAGAGCGGGGCAGAGCCAGGCGGAGCCGCCAGAGCCGCCATGGCAGAAAGCGACGGGGCGGGGCGGGAGGGGGAGGGTCGCCTCTCACGAAATGGAAGTGAGGGAAGCGGAGAGAAGGGAGTTGTGGGCGAGGGGAAGGGAAGGGCAGTGCCGCGGTGCTGTCCTGTCGCTGCTGTCGCTCACGCTCGCTCGGTGCCCGGCCAGCCCCGCGCCGCCCCGTGCTAGCTAGCCCCTCCACCCCTCCGCTGTCGCGGTCCCCAGGCCCGGCCGCGTCCGCGATACGCCCGTGCCCATCCACCTCCCTCGAGGAGCCGCGCGACCTGCGGCCACGCCACGCCACGCGCCACGCCCTACGGCCGGGGGGAGGCCAAAACGTACACTCCTTCATGTTGACGCGGACCGCGGACCCGACGCGCCTCGGCGACAAACGAGGAGCGAGGCAAAGCGAAGGGAGCGGCGAGCACCCCGAGTCCCACAGCCATCCGCAGGACCTGTACCCTCCGCCTCCTCTCCCCGCTGGGGGGGCCTAACGCCAGGCAGGGCGGGGCGGCTCTGGGCGGCGCGGGGCGGCGCGGTGCCGGGGCTCCGTTCTCTCGCTCTGCCGCCACCACCACTCGAGCCAGCCCTGCCAGGACTGCCAGCCCTGCCCCGCACCACGCCAGTCCCAGGCCTGCCTGATCAATATTTCGGAGTGCCTGCTGCTTTATCCGAGTATTCATTATCTTGCGTTCGCTTTCACGTTCACATGGAGGGTGGCGGCGGGCGTCACCGTCGCGGCCCTGCCTCGCTGCCTTGCCTGCCGCTTTGTCCCTGCAAGCTCCTGCAAGCTCCTGCAAGCCGCGAGGTCGCGAGATGCGCCTGCCTCTCCTTTGTTTTGTTGCGGAGTCGTTGGGCCGTTGGACTCTACGCTGTACTCCTCTGGCGCGCGGCTGGGCGCCGTCGGCGGTTGGCGTCGGCGTGGTCTGGATTCCGACCCGCAGTCTCACGGGGCCGTCTTCGGCGCGGCGCTGAGACGTTTCCTCCTGCTGGCGGGTGGTTGGGCCAGGCCAGCGCTGCTAACGTCAACCGCAATGTGGCACCCTGGTGGCGCCCTGCCCTGGCGCGGCGTGGACCGGCGTGGTGCGAGGTGCGTCAACCGCGGCTTATTTTAGGCCGCCTTGCTGCAACGCTGCGCCCCGCGCTCCCCGGAAGCAAAGCCTGCAGGGGTCAGACCCGCGGCGGCAAGGCGGCACCCGACCTGGCCTTCCGACGCCGTCGCCGACGGGCCCTGGGGACAGCTTCCGGACAGGCGATAATGACGTCACAGACGGCTAGCTTCGGGATTGGCTCGCGACGAGGCAGCGAGGAGTCTCGGGTCCTTCGCGTCAACGAGGTGCACCGCCATCACTCACAAGACGAACCATCGCTGCTCCGCGTGGAGGCCGTCCAAGGGCCAAAGTCGATTGGGCAATTGGCACTTCTTTGTGGCGTCGGCCCGCCATAGCCCATCGCCTGCGGGCATGCCCGGGGCCGGGGCAGTTCGCGGCCACTGGCTGCGACTTGAGAAGTGTGCCGCCGTGTCTGTGTCTCTGGCGTTTTCGGTCGTAGGCAAGAGGCGAGAGGAAAGCGAGGGAACGAGGAACGAGGCGTGTGCCGCACAGGCAGGCCATGGCAGGCCATGGCACGGGCAGCCTCCGGCCCGGCGTTCCGCGCTCCGCTCCGCTCCGGAGCGGTTCGCCCCTCGCCGGTCCCGCCTCCGCGCTCGCGGCCGGGATAGATGGAGAAAGGGAAAAAAATGAAAACAAAAAAAAAAGATGGCGGATAAACGAAGTGCGATCTGCGGCCGCGGCGGAAGAGCGGCGCGGGGTAGCGCGGCGGGGAGGGGGAGGCCGCGAGAGGGGGGTGAGGGGTGCGGGGCGCGGTGAGGTATGGCTGCCCTTTCGACTGGCGCGGCACGGCGAGGCACGGCGTGGACGACGCTCTGATCAATATCCACCAACGTGCGTTTCATCGTGTGCCATTGCCACCAGCACCCCGCCGCCCGCGCCGCCCGCACCACAGCTTGCCCGCCACGCCTTGCCACGCGCCGCCTCGCCTAGCCTCGCGGCGAGGACGAGGGCAGGGCGACGAGGACGCCGGGCCATTCAATCCAATCCGAAGCGCCGGGCGGCCCTTCGCCGTCGCCCTGCAGGGCCTGCAGGGCGTGCCTGGCATCCCTGGGTACTCTGTGGCGGCGCCGGCCCGGCCTGACTGCCTGGACGAGGTTTATGGACAGCCCCGCCGCGATGCATGCATCGCCGCCATCGCCTTGGCCCGGCGCTCGACGCGCGGCTCGACGCGCGGCTCGACGCGCGGCTCGACGCGCGGCTCGACGCGCGGCTCGACGCGCGGCCACGCGGCGTGTGCAAGGGACTGCCCCGCCGGCTAGAGCCGCGGCCGCGACCAGCGAACCGCGACGGGGCGGGACGGGACGGGACAAGCCGACAAGCAGCGGAGCGGGCACCGCCAGGGCAGGGCACCGGCGCGCCGCGCCAAGAACTAGTACACAATGCAGAGCCAGCAGCGCCGGGGCCAAACAGGCGCGGACCGCGCGGACCCGCAACGGTCGGATCGGTCGAGTCAGGCTGCGGGAAGCACAACACTGGCCCCAGAGGGACGCCCTGGCTGCCCGGCCCTCCCTCGACTCGCATCGTGCAGCCATGGGTGTACCTACACCGCAACCGCACAGCAGGCTCACTCCGAGAACACTTTTCGCTCCGTCCGCCTCGCGGCATCCACAGAACGCCACGAGAGCGAGGGAGACAGGGCGATGGGCCCACCGGCCACCGTTCGGAACCATCTTGCAGGCACCGCCTCGGCAACAGCACTGTACAGCACTACTGCAGCGCGCCGCGGACAGCGAATGCTGCGGATCGTATCGACTTTACTCCAGGCGGCAAGTCAAAGTGGCGCGGGGCGGCGCGGGGCCCGGCCCGGCCGGGTGGCTCGGCTCGGCTTCCTCCAATTCACTGCCAACTCGACGCCCAATCGGCCTGCCTGCCCGGCCAACAATTTCCAGGGACGTGGCGCGGCGGCCCAGCGGCTGGAGCGGCTGGAGCGAGCTGGAAGTTGGAAGGGAAGGCATTGGCCGCCGTCTCGGACACTGTGCACTCGACGGCGTCCAGCGATTTACAGTGTCGCGGAGCTGGAGCTCGGCTGGAGGCTGGAGTCATCCGGGAACGCTGCTTCCCTGTTCTGGTTCAGGCGCTGCGTGCGGCGAGCGGGCGCTTTGGCGAGCGAGCGTGCACCGCGGGGCCCCGGAGAGAGAGAGAGAGAGAGAGAGAGAGGGGGGGGGGGAGAGAGGGGAGGAAGGGGAAAGGGGGCGGGGCGGGAAGGGCGAGCGAAGCGTGCCCAACACGGCGCACGGAGCAGAGGAACGGAGAGACAAGCAGAAAGGCAGGTGATTATTTACCCTTCCCCTTCCCTCGAGGCCAATGCGGTGCGTCGCGTTGCGTTGGGCTCTCGGCCGGGCCCCGGGCCGGGCCGGGCCCCGCGTGGACAGCCAGGCCCGCCAGCGCGCCAGCCCGCGCCCCGCAATGCCACGTCGCCCCGCGCCGCCCCACCGAAGCCTTATCGACCAGCTCGGACTGAAAAATGAGGCCCAGGG